CTCTTTCTCTTTCTCTTTCTCTTTCTCTTTCTCTTTCTCTTTCTCTTCTTCTTCCTCTTTCTCTTCCTCTGTCTCTTTCTCTGTCTCTTTCTCTTTCTCTTTCTCTTCGTCTTTCTCTTGCTCTTGCTCTTTCTCTTTCTCTTTCTCTTTCTCTTCTTTTTGTCTTTCCCTCTTCCTCTTTCTCTTCCTCTTCCTCTGTCTCTTTCTCTGTCTCTTTCTCTTTCTGTTTTTTCTCCGGAAGAGGAAGCGAAGGAGAGCGGAGAAGCGCAAAATGAAAATATTGCAATGCCACTCAGGCAGCATATCTTGCGCCGCGGGCCATGGAAAACGACAACATATCCAAAAATCACAAAGAAACAACAAAGCATCATAAATTACGGTGACTTCAGCGGGTAGTGGGTCGGCGGCAGGGGCGGAATCCCTATTTTCCTTCCATAAAAGAAAAACTCCGCGGGACACAGACACGGAGACCCTGTCCTACATTGATGTGTTACAGTCAGGCGCGTTCGATTTTCCGGTGTATTGTTTGATTGCGGATGTTTGTTTTCAAACGGAAATGACCTTCAACCAAAACGAGTTCCATGCACTTGCCCTTTGGTTTTCTAGCTGTTCCTTGGCAGAAGCCTCATTCATAAATGCGCTGTGCCTGGTGAGGCGACATACCTGGGCAATTTGATGGGTCAAAAGGCGCTAGCAATTCTGGAGGGCCAAGGTTCTTCGGCAAACGAACTGTCAAGCTTTGGTCTGAGCAAGCCTCACAAAACATCCTTCAATTTACACAGATTATTTTTTGGGATCATGTAGACACATGATGACACATGCTTGGTTTCAAAGGATGATTGCCCATTGTTTTTGTCAGTCATTTGGGAAGTGTTTGCTTGCCATCCTAGGCGCCAAGATGTCCACAGGAGCCACGAAAGTGCTGACCCGCATTGAGGCTTTGCGTGGCGCAACCAAGGCCGGCGTTCTGAGCAGCGAGGAAGCAGGCACGGCGCTAAGTGTTCATGAAGTTCATTAGTCTCAAACAAAAGGCAGACGCTGTAGGTAGCTTGTGCATTGCAAATTGTATTTGCAAAGTACTTTCCAGATTCATTGAGCAGGAGGCATGCTGGACAAACTTTTCGATGTCTGAAGAGGATCCACTTGGGAGAATTTGAAAGTTCCCATATTTCTCGCGGACGATCGGTTCTACATTTACGCAAATGCACCGATAAGAAAGAGATGTATTAAGTGACAATGTATGTTGAATTTTGAATTTCATCCAGAAAGGCAAATACGATAAGGTTTCCCGAGCAAATGACGGACATAATTATTTAAGACCGCGAAGATAATATATCGTAATTATGTTTTTTGAATATTGTTATATATATTATTACAATTTTTTTGAAATATTTACTAAAAAGCAATTCTGTTTATGGTAAATATTGATTATTAAATATATATATATATAAATAAAATGATATTTATAAAGAAATTGAAATTATTGAATAAATATGGATTATTTAATTTGATAAGTGCGATGTTTAGATTAAGCGGTCCGTAGTCGTTTACGAGGGCCGGGAATTATATTTTGTTGATTTAATTCTTTTTATTTTTTTTTCCTCTGGCATATTATTGCAATTTTATTTGTTGGTTGCGTATATTTTTTTGAAGATAATTTTTCTGGAAAGTCCGGTTTTAAATCGGGGAATATGAAAATTAATGTACGGATATTTTATTTAACTACTATGTTTGGCGCGAGGGTTATTTAGAAAATCTTAGTTCTGAGCGAAAATGGAGGATCGTTTTTATTTACGAAGTTATATGAGGTTTGGGCCTTTGATGGTTACGGCCAAATTTATGTTTGGCCGCGTTTAGTGCGTATTAAAAGGATATAGAAACGAATTTCTTATAAAATATTTCGCTAAGGATATTTATTATACGCTCACGCGGAAGGCGAGGAAAGATGACGTTATTATAGATATAGAGGACAAAGTATTATATTTGCTGATATAATATGGCGTTTCCGGGAAGTATTTTAGAAATTGCTTTTGAATACGATAGACATTTAAGTTAATACTTGGTATATGTTGTATGATTTGGAATGCCTCGAAGGTATTGATTTATGAAGAATTATTGTTTTGGATCTTATTTTAACTACTGGATGTAATTGCAATATGAGAGATGGGATGGCGCTTCATGGCTATTTAGAGCATCCCTGAATGATTTTGCATTCATTTAGCGTGTAGGCAAGCTTCCATTTTGTTGTTGGTTCGGACCACCTCCGCTGTAGCAGATTATATCGCTATAGCCCCATTGATGGAAGGACGTCTTTTGTATGGGAGGGTCTTTTTTGTGAGGACATTTGATTTTCTTATTATGTATTAATATGCCTGGAATATATATTATGGCATTTTATTTCTCCTTTAGAAACGATTGAAATTTTGGTATGCTTGATAAAATTGCCTTAATTATATTCCCAAAGTATACTACTTAATAGTTTTTGGAGATTTTAACACGGTTTTCCCTATTGACCCGCCGTTCGTAGGATTTGAAGGTTTTAGACGCCTACCCAATACCCACACTGATAGCCATATTCTGCAGCAGATCTTGAGACATCAGGATTTCATTAATCTTAATTGTAAAGGTGGCTATTAGCAGACTTTTGCTCATGGTAGCCATGCTTCGAAAATAAATTTCATATTGATTCGATAACCGCAGGTTCAATTTCGTCGCATGTAGCCGTTCACAAACACGAAATTCGAAAGGAATTTTGGCCTCAGTGGACCTTACCATTATCCTTTATTGGTGATATTTCCGAAATGGCATGCCTTTCAAACTATTTATTATTCTTTAAATAGGATTGATCGATTCGCCATGCGACTGGCATATTAAGCATAGATGGACAATTGGATCCTGCTCGAGGCCTCTGCTAGGAAGCTGATTATTAATATGACGTCCACCCATGATCGGACGGCTCAGGACAGTATTCTAGACCTCGAAATTAAACTTCGTGACCTGCGTATCCAATACTTCCCAAAACGCAGATCACGTAGATCAGCATCACCCCAGCTTTAGTCCATCTCATCTAGGATGGGGCATGCTCGTAGGGAGGCCCTTCGTTTCCGATGCCAATCATTGAGATCCATGTTTTTGTGTTGGCACCATATCACGCAATATTTAGGTTGTCAGAAATAAATTAGGCACTACAGTCGTGCTAACAAACGATTGAAACTCGAAACCATCCTTGCCGAAGGAGCTGACTTAGCCTTACATGGACAGACGTTTGAATGGTATCACAAAATTCGACAATTCTGTCCTAAGCAACGGGTTCGTCGCATACAGATGTTTGATCAATATGGAATTCCGCTATCCCCAACCCAGGAGACACAGCTGACCGAACAATACTACACAGCCCCGCACTCAGACGATCAATTTCCGTGGTCGGCACCGATCCCCTGACACACGCCCCGTTTGATCGCCAGGCATTGATTGAAGCCCTGAGAGCCCTAGCACAAAGGCCCTTACGCCAGATGGCATACCGGCCTTGGTCTGGAAACACTTTGCCGCAGACCTTGCCCCACATGTCATGAACACGTTTGTTGAATGCTGGATGGACTCACGAATCAGACCCCCTGTTCACTGGACCACGGGATGGATTCATCTCCTACCCAAGCCGAATAAAACCCCATCCAAACCACAGGCCCTTCGTCCCATCTGTTTACAACATCCGGTTAATAAGGTCTTTGCCGGCATACAGTGTAATCTCATCCTGACTCAAGCATATCCACACTTGAGGCAGCTGCCTTTGTTCGCCTACTTGCCCTCCCGGGTTAATACGTGATTGTTTACTCATGGTGGCCTCTCATTGCAGACAAGTGCGTGACACTTGCAGCCATTTTCGCTTGCGACCGAATGCCCCGGGAATGCAGGGAGGCTTGCAGGCTTCATTAGATATGGAAAAGGCCTTTGATACAGTAGCCAGATCTTTAGTCCTTCAGACACTTGATCAATTCCAGTTTATGTTGATATATTCAAATTGATCCATTCGTGGTTGACCCCTCACAAGTACAGCATTCCGTTTAAACAATTCATCGGTCATGTCACTGCTTGCCGGGGCATTAAGCAGGGATCCAAAGATGCCCCATTGCTTTGGATTCTTGTAATGAGTGCCTCCTCCTGGACCTTAAGGCCAGATTCTCGCTTGCATGGTTTCGTGACCATATGATTGTTTATGCAGACGATGTGCACCTTCGATGGATCATCACAACTCACTCACATGCCCTTGAGGTCTTATCTGAACTTCAACACACCTTGGACACCTTCAGTGCTTTTGGACTTAAAATAAATATGCAAAAGAGCTTTGCAATCCTCAGACTGGTTGGTCGTGAAGCCCCTGGATTCCTGCGACGCTGGGTCCATCGACAGCCGGATGGCCCTTTGCTGATCTTGCCGGAGAAACTCTGGCGCCTGCCCCTGGTGTCTAAAACGGCCTACCTTGGAGTGTTTCTGAGTTATCGTGCCTTCGACCTTGATACCACCTTGAGAAGAATTCACAGCCGCTAAATGGTGTTTCACAACTCTCAGGTCTTGGCTTACCAGCGCGGTTCATCCGCTCTCAACTCGTCTTCAGCTATACCGTCAGTGTGTCATGTCCACTGTAAACTATGGCATTCATGAGATGGGAATCACACGTCGTGGCCTAGCTAAGCTTATCAACATGATCAATACACACCATAGGATTATGACTAAGTCACCGGTATGCCTGACACATGAGTGGACGCAAAGCTTTTTCGACAACTCACACCACCTTGGATACAATTGCAACAACAGCAAGCTTGGATCCAACAATCCCTCCAAAACCGCGCTCTTCGTTTTCGCCTGGAAGCCATGACTGAATTTTCACCTGACGCATGTGTCTGTGTCCCAGATTTGTGGCCCAATGACCTCACCTTACCTAGTGACACTCCGGACCCACAGCTTGCCCAGGAAATCAAGTGTCCTGAATGCCATCGAGCATTCAAGCAGGTTGGCGCCCTCAGACGACACATGCGACGCTTGCACGATATGCCATGTGAACCAGAGGATATATATGATCCCTTGCGAAATTCCTGGACAGGTCGACCCATCTGCAGTCATTGTTGATTTTTACCGGTTGAGAGATCACAAATAGACGTGTTTGCACCTCCTTCAACCCGGCTCAGGAGTCGATCACCCCGATTGTGGCGAGACCTGACCTGAAGATGCATTTGCGTCATAAATCGATCCCTGGTTTGTTGCTTAATCAAGCCCTGGTCAGTGAATTGTCCCATCACTGTGCATTTTGTCACTATCAAATAGCTGCAAGATCCATCCATAAGCACTACACTGATCAATATCCTCAGTTGATTGCATTTGCAACACAGTACCAAGCTCATGTCCTTAGCCTTGCCAATATTGGAAGTGGACGAGGCCGATGTAGCTTTTGTGACAAGGAATGCCGGAACGTTCGAAGCCATGAATGTGGGGTCTTATTCCAGCTGGCTGCCATGCTGGGACACACGTTTCAACCAGAATTCTTTCCTGTTATGCCGGTCATGATGAAGGCCTCCAAGTATGACAACATGTTCCTGCAGACCCGTTACAGCCCCCGCCAGGTGATCTTCACGATTTTCCTGACAGCCAACATCAGGGTGCACAGCCGTCAGTCCGAGATGCACAGGCAGCTGAGGTTCCACCCATGTCAAAATCCACCATCTTTGTGTGCCAGCACTGTCATAATAGCTTCCTGACCTCGATTGGACTTGAGAAGCACATATAATCTCATGGTCATGAGGCTGCCCAGGAGGATCCAGAGTTGGTTCATGCACCCAAAGTGCCACGTGTTGACATTCCCACACCGCCGAAAACGTTCACTTGCCCCCTCTGTCAAGCTAGCATTGGTAGGAAGGGCCTGGCAGGACATTTGAGGAATGCACACCAAGTTGACAAATCCGAGTTCTTCAGCTTTCGCCCCAGTCGGGACATGATGCCTGGACGATTAAGATGTATTCATTGCCTTAGCTGCTTCACGACTGAGGCTGCCTTGAAACTGCACTACCAACGTGCCACGTGCCCAGCATTGCTGATTGAATGGGTCACAGACATGCACTTCGGACCAGTTACACCTGTGACCACTTCCACCCTGACCTCCGAAGCGACCGCATCACATCAGATTGACCTTCCACGATCTGTGCCCTTCCTGTTTGAGCATGCTCTGAAGCCGCCAGCAGGTTCGACAGTCAGTTGGTCAGGTTCATATGGACTGCACATTCCCGAGGATGCACCAGTTTAGTGTTCCTCCTTGACCCAAAATTTGTGTGTCAATTTGATCAATGACCAA